GGGCAGCGGCCCCCCACCCCCGCTCCCTCGGCCCCGCCAGCCTTGCGTGTGCTTCCCGTCCTCTGGACATTTCATACGCAGAGTGTCACACGCCACGTGGCCTTCATGACCGGCTTCCTTCACTGAGCACCACGTCTCTGGGGTCCCACAGGTCGCAGCAGGTGTTGAACTTCACCCCCTTTCTGGCTGAATGACAGACCACGCTCCGCTGACGTGTGCCGCGGCCGCCTCAGGGCCACCGCCCCCCTCCCCCAGGCTGTAACCACACAGGGACCCGGATGCCCCTTTCCTTGCTCATTTCCACCTGGCATTTCAGGACCGCAACCTCAGATGAGGGAGCCCCAGGCTGAGGGGAGACAGTGGTGTGCCCAAGGTCACCCCAAGTCGTGCTACTCGTTTACTTTTCATTCCTTCCACCCACCTGTCCCTGCCCGGCTCCGGGACAGACAGCAGGTGTGACAACCTGTGTACAGAGCAGCCGCCTCACTGTCTCTCCCCTCTGGCATGACACGTCCCTCTCCCCAGCGCCCAGCTGGACCCAGGGCCTTGCCGGGGGCCGTGAGTGCTCCAGAGCCCACTGAGCACCCCCAGTCCCCCAGATGGAGGCACCTTAGTGGTCCTGATCATGGAGCCCTGCGGGGCTGTGATCGCACATCAAGGAGCAGAGAGAGCCCCAGGGACTCTGGGGACACAGTGATGGCCTCACCCATCCCTGCCCAGAAAGTAAGGGGAGAATCACTCTCTGCGGTGGCCTCAATTTCCCCATCTGTGCAATGACTATCTGTCAGGGTTGCTAGCTGTAAGGGACAGAAGTGACGACCTTCACTTGCAGAAACATGCGCCTTAGTTCCTAGGGCTGCTGCAGCCAGTGCCACCAGTGGGTGTTTTGAAACGACGGAGACTTATTCTCTCACAGTTCTGGAAGCCAGAAGTATGAGATCAAGGTGTTGGCAGGGCTGGTCCTTTTTTGGAAGCTCTAAGGGGAAAATCATGCCTCTCCCAGCTCGTGGTTGCTGGTGATGCTTGGCGTCCTGGGCTTGTAGACACGTCACTCCAGCCTCTGCCTCTGCTGCACGAGGCCTTCTCTGTGTCTCTGTCTCTGTGTCTTGTCTCCTCTACTTACGAGGCCACCAGTCACATTGGATTAAGGACCCACCCTGCTCCAGCATGACCTCGTCTTAATTTAACTAATTATATTAATATATGTAATGAACCTATTTCCAATTAAGGTCACATTCATAGGTCCCAGATGTTAGGACTTGGACATCTCTCTTCTGGGGATGGAATTCAACCCACGACAGAGAACTAAGACTAGATTTGGGTAGAGACAGTCCATTTGGGAGGGGACCCCCCCAGCTCCCATGGGGGGTAGGAATCGAGGCAGGAAAGGGAAGGGGCCAGTTCCGGGGGTGCTGATGCACAAGTGGCTGCCAGGACGCTGGAGCTCAAACCCAGGGGGCCTCGGGGACAGTGCAGAGCACTCTTCACACGTGCCCGGCTCCAGCTCCGTCTGCTCCTACAGGAGCTGCCTCCCCGCACCCTGGCCTGTCCTGCCTGTGGCCTTCCGGCCGACAGGGACAAGTGCTTGCAGCAAGAGGGCGAAGGTGCTGGAACTCGGGAAACGTGAGAACAGAGCTGCAGGCCACCTGCCTCTCCCACTCCTGCTGTCCTAGCGAAAAGTAAAAGCTTGTGTTGGAAGGCTCTCAAGAGCTCACAGAAACAATAGGGGGGAAGGAGAACCAGTCAGGGAAGAAACTGAGGAACACTGAGTGGCTGTGGGCTGCTGCTGGCTCCTACAGGGCCTTAGTGCTCACTGCCATAGGGGGCCCCTCCAGGCAGAGCGGCTGCAAAGGGGCACCCCCTCTAGCAGGATGCACCTCACAGAGGCCACCCCCAGCGCCCGGCTGCTGCAGCCCCTCACCGTCCACTGGGCAGAGCAAGCACCTCTGGGCAGGTTGCAAACTGAACAACCATTTCCAGCTGCTCTGGCTGGGCCCTTAGGGGCAACACAGCCCCGCAGCCACAAGGACAACGGGGACCGTCCTGCTCTGTCCATGGCTGCTCAGTACCCCGGTGGGTGTGGTAGCTGCAATGGGCCCCACCTGGCAGATATGTCTCGAGGACCCCAAGAGCTAACGCGTGGCAAACGCTTAGCTTGACGCAGAGTAAGCGCTCAGCAAAGAATTTTGTCCTCATGAGTTTCATCGAATGCCAGAAGAGAGCCGAAAACGCCACCAGCTCCACAGAACCGACTCCGAGCTCCCCAGAAATGCTTTTGGACTATTTACAAACACTCTGTTTCTGCTTTGTTGGCCTCATAAATATTTGGTTCTAGTATTTTTTAAATATATATATATAGAGAGAGTGAAGCTGTGTGCCGAGCGTGGAGTTCCGTGGTCTTTTCACTGGACCCTGCAGAGCAGGCCCTGCTGGGCCCCGTGCTGCAGATGAGGAAACTGAGGCTCAGAGAGGAGAAGGAATTCACTGAGGGTCACCAAGCTGGAGGGCGTCTCTCCTAAGGGCGTCCCGTGGGAACGTAAAGCCAGCGTGTTCTCTCTGGCACTGCCTCTGTGTGCTTGGACGGCGGAACATAAACAGCGCTCAGGAAATTAACCAGCACCCCCGTGACCGAGAGACCAATCCCCCAAACAAAAGTCACTGCCCAGGGATGGGATTTGGGGAAGGTGGGACCGGAGGAGCCTGGAGCAGGATGCTGGCAGCCAGTGCTGCTCAGGGGAGGGCCACCAGCTCTCCCTGCATAGCCCTGGCCAGGGTCCAAGGTGTAAACACTCCCGCTGCGACTGATTTCAGCCTAGCAGCGGGAGGCCGCCGAAGGAGGCGCCGGAAGAGATGCTCACAGACACAACGGACAGGAAAAACCTCAAGAGTAGAGAGAATAGCAAAATGCAGCCAAATAATTGAAAGTCATGTATTTCCAATAAGGAGTATTTCCTCCCCTTCTTTTTTTTTCTTTTTTTATTTCAGCATATTATGTGGACACAAATGTTAAGGTTACATATTTGCCCATGCCCCCCTCCCTCCCTGAGTCAGAGCTTCAAGCGTGACCATCCCCCAAACACTGCACATCTCACTCATGTTTGTATATGCCCATGCCCTAATCCTCCCTTTCTTTTTAGTATAAATGATTTAATTTGGAATCATGGCCGAAATCGGACGTCTTTTCTCCTCGTAATTCCTAACCCTTCTCCCAGTTCTGGGCACCTCCACCAGGAAGCCTTCGGTGACTGTACCATCTCACACGAGCTCTCCCTTCTCCCAACACCTACCGTCATTTCACTCGACTGCTCTTCCCGGTGCTGTGTGGCCTCCTGTCTCTTCCCATAGGCACCTGCCCGACCGGGAGAGTGTGAGTCCTAGATCGGCCTGGACACAGTTTCAGCCACAGCACCATACCTGGGGCCATTAAACATCCCCTTCTCCCGCACCTCCATCTGGCAAACTCCAAAAACAGAGTGCAAACTCATCCGTTGAAGCCCTGGGTCTGATGTCTCCGACCCCGTAAAGCCTCTCTGACACTCCTGGGGCAGAGCTGCACCCGAGTTCGTCTGTGCTGCCACTGCGTCTGCTCACAGTTCACCCACAAGCAGGCACTGGGTGCTGAGTTAATGGCAGGCACCCGAACACCGCACTAAGTGAAACAGAATCTAGTCCCACTCCGAGGAACCTACATTCCCTCCCCCCCCACAGGGAGGCAAGCACCAAACAATTTTACCACTACATCATTAACAGCCACCAGGCTGCACTGATCACTGGCTAGGTGCTAAGCACTCTACACATGTTGAGTCATTTAAACCCCATGCAGATGATGAGAGTGCTGTATTCTAGAACCCTCTACGTCCAGATATCCTGGCTCACTCTATCCCTGCGGATTTGTGCTCCCTGGGGGATTGGGGGAACCCAAAATTACACCTTCCCCCGTCCCCTTTCTCTCTCCCGGTCCCCTTCCTGTTTTCTTTCTCTCCTCGGCACTCGAGGACTGAACATGCTGGTGTCTTCCTTTGATCTCTCATTTACTCTCTGCTGCCGAGGTCCCGCGAGTCCCCGGGCAGAGATGCGATGTCTATTCCCACAGCCTAGAACAGCGCCTGCTAAGTAGTGGCAACCCAAAAGACATTTGTTGAATGGAATACACCACTCTGGCTTTTGCAGATAAGATTCTTGGTGCTCAGAGATATCAAGCAACTTGCCTGAAGCCACACAGCTGGTGAGTAGCAGAGGCTGGATTCAAACCCAGACACCTGGCTCCAGGGCACGCGCTTCTCACCATGCACTAAGCCTCGCCTTGTCACCAGACTGCCTCTGCCACCCTAAGACCACCCTCAAGGGAAGGAGCTGATGTCTCCTTCCTCTTGCACCTGCAGGACCCCACACCGCACCTTCCCCATAGCCCTTTCCACTAAATGTTTGCTGAACGAATAAATAACCGCATGCATGCATAACTGCATTTCATAAACATTTAGCTATCGATGGTGGAGACTTAAACACAAGTTTAAGTCCTTGGACTCTTAAATAAGCTGCTGTCTGCAGGAGAAAGCGTGCTTCGGCAGCACGTCAGAAGCAAGGCTCGACGGCCCCGCAGGCTGATGATGTGCCTTTTGCCTCTGAGCTCACAGGCAGGGGCCTCTGAGGGCGGTGGGTCCCGCCTGCCCACCCCAGGCCTCTGACACACCTGGATAAAGACGCCCACCCAGCTGCGTTTGGGGGACACCTCCAGCAGGGCGCAGCGCCTGGGGCTGGCTTCTCCCTGCGAGGCTGCCCTCGCCCACGGAGCCCCCGGCCGCCCCTCCCGGCACTCACGCGGGATTTCTCCGCCAGCCTCGCGGGCAGTGCCCGTTTCCAGACGTGCTTGGCACAAGTGGCTTCGAGGAGAAGTAGGACGCCCAGAGCCCAGATGACCTTCCTTCCACGGCTGCCTGTCCCGAGGCTGGTGGGAGGCATTTCCTCCCCGGGGAGCGACCCTGCCGACACTCAGAGCTGCGTCCTGCTGGCAGCGGGGGGCGCGGAGGTGGGAGCAGACGTGTGCGCGGTCTGCCGGGCGTTCTCAGTTCCAGTCGGCTGGGTCCCGCAGATCATGTGTCCGCGCCCGGCGCACGCCCCCTCCTCCGTGGCGGAGGCCCGCTGGGTTATTTTTAGCTTGCCCTGTAACATCTGGCCCCGGAGACTTCCACCAGGGCGTCGGCCGCCTGGCCAGCGCCAAGGGAGGAGGGGGCACCGACTTGGAGACGTGGCGTGTCTCTGTCTGCCCCTCTCCTAACAAGCACTTCCACGAAGGCTGGGTCCCCTCCCGGAAGGAGCGGCTGGGGCAGGCAAGCAGGCTGGCGGGTGGGTGGGGGCTCTGCTGCTCCCTTGTCCAAGTCTTGAGCTTTGAGCGGGCCGACGCTTTGGAAGATGTTGCCAGACGCGACCCGCTGGGCTTGCGGCTGCGGGGAGACGCCTCGCTGGCGTGGGACAGCTCTTACCGCATGTGCCTCTGCTGAGATTTAAATGACACTGTGCACATGAAGTGTTTCGTGTACATCCTAGGTGTGCTGGAAATGTCGGCTCCTGTGTGTGCTTTGTACAGGACTCAACCTTCCACAAATTTTACGTCCCCTTCCTGTTCCCAGCACCCCGACACAGGTGCGGTTTTGACACCCATTTCACAGGTGAGAGCGGGGTAGAGGCCGGAACCCAGGTCCGTCTGACCTCTGGGTCTCACTCGCCGGCCAAGCTCGAGGGACCCAAGCTCTAGGCATCCGCGTACCTGGGCTGCGGCCCAGCTCTGCCTGCGTGAGACGCTGCAAAGCCTTGCTCACCGCGCCTCAGTCTCCCACCTGTGAAATGGGCGCGTGACAGCACCTTCCTCCTAAGGTCCATGGGGGCAAGAGGACATGGTGCCGGCCGTGCCCAGCACTTGCACAGAGTGAGCGCTCAACAGAGGCCGGCTTCTTCCTCCCTGGGGCACTGACCCCCACGGCCGGCCAGGGCAGCCACCTCGATAGCCTGGGCCGTATCCTCGAGCCCTCCTGGCCTCCTGGAGAGTGACAGCAGCAAGGACTCGCGACGTGTGCCTGCACTGTCTGAAGCCTTCACACGTTTTAATGCAAGTAGGTCTCGCAGGAGCCCTGCACCCAGGTACGTACATCTGTGACCCCGTGCACAGAGGCGCCAGGCACCTGCCCACGGGCGTGGGCTCTGGAGCAGGGCAACCTGTGCTCCCAGAGCCAGGTCAATGCGCTTGAGTGCAGCCGAGCGAGCGCCTCCTTCAGTTCTGGACCCGGGACGCCTCGCGTGCCTCACTCTCGTCCCGGCCCCTGGTTGTTACCTTACCCTAGGTTCTAGAATATTCCTTCATCCCTTCGCCCTGAAAAGATGGGCCGAGCCCATACGGGAGCTGGGTCCAGAGTGCGTCTTCCCTCCTCCCCCAGGCCGGGTGCCATCTCAGCCCCTCCCCGTGCCAGACGCTCACTCAGAGTCAGACTCGGTCAACGGAGGTGGTGCAGCCGGCCGCACCCCCTCTCTGTGCCTCAGTTTCCTCATCTGTGAAAGCAGGGTACGGAGCCAGAACCACTCCCGCAGGCTCGCTGAGGTTGTGCTCGCTGAGGTCTAGGGCTGGGAACAGGCTCGCCGTGGGAGCCCACCCCACGAGTCGCCGCGTCCAGGGCCTCGGCCATCCTCCGCCGGCCCTCCAGGCAGCCCCATCCCCACCCGGCTCCCCGTGAACCTTCCTGCCCCTTGGAACCCGGGATCCTGGGCTTTCCTAAGGCCATCAACACCTCCCCCATTCCCGTTCACCCGTCCCTTCCACCTTCTCCCTAAAACGTAGGCATTTCCTGTTGGTGTCAACGGGACATTCTTGGCCCGTTTCCTGGTCTCTCTCCCGCTGGGCGGCCCCACTCCTGCCAAGAGCACCAACCGCCCTCCCTCTGGGTGGGGGGCACTCCAGTGACCTCTCCCAGCCTCCTCCCCATCCCTTTCTGGACTCTGCGCCTTGCCTTCACCCTGGCAGTCTCCCACCTGGAGTGCTTTTCTACCCAAACCGCAGCACTCACACAGCGCCCCCTCCGGGTTTCTGCTCGTATGTCGCTTTCTTGGTGTGGTCTTCTCTGAGCCCAGGATTTAAAACCACAATTCCTACACCACTGGGACGCCCCACGCCCCTCCTGGCTTTGTGCTTCTTCACACCTGTCACCGTATTTTGCTTTATCTTGTTCCTTTGTTGTCTGTCTTTCCACACCAGGACGCCGGCTTCACAGGGGCAGCTTTTTTGGGTCTGTTCATTCGCTTTGGAATCACCAGTGCCTAAAGCAGTGCCCGGCACCAGGCAGACACTCAACAAACACCGAGGAACGAATGAGTCGTGTACAACCCCGTCCACCTGCCTGCTGGATGGCTTGGCTGTCACTCCATCTGTCCCACACAGCTGTCCCTCATCACGGTGACGACGGAGCATGCAACATGTGGCCGGTCTGAACGGAGGTCTATTGTAAGCGTAAAACATACACGGGATTTTGAAGACGTACGGAAGGAAAAAGGACGAGAATATTTCATTAGGGACTTTTATGTTGATTATGCACTGAACTGCTAATGTTTAGGCCATATTGGGTTCAATGAAATAGATGATTGAATTAATTGTACTTGTTTCTTTTTGCCGTTTTGCATGGCTGACGAGAAAATTCACAATTGCCTGCATGGCGTGTCCTATGTTTCCATTAAGTAGTGCTGGCTGGTCCATGACGCCCGACTCCCTCTCTAGCTCTCAACCCCTCCTGGCTGGGCCGGCACCCTCCCACCAGACCCCCAGGCTGAAACCTTGACCTCCTTGGTCATACCTCCCTCGCTCTGAGCTCTATAGCTAATCTCCAACTCAGAATTTCAAAAAATTACTGCATTGTATCTTTTTTTCTGATAATCAACATGACGCACGTTTATTAGCAGAGAATTTGGAAAGCAGAGGAAAGAATAAAGAAAATATTTAACATGATGCATCCAGAGATAACTGGCACAGCCTGTCCTTTATCCCATGAGAATGCCTCAGACGTGATGGAGGTCAAAGCCAAGGCTAACCTCTGTGCTGAGGGAGAGGTCGAGTGTTAGGAATACACACTCTGGAGCCCACCTGCCTGGACTCCTGCTCCAAGACTTCCCAGCTGTGTAACCTGGGCAAGTCACCTACCCGCTCTGTGCTTTGCTATTCTCATCTGTAAAATGGGAGCAACAATACGCCCACCTCGCAGGGCTGTTGTGAGGACTGAATGAGCCTTACAGACGAGACCTCTGCCCTTGCCTCACTACAGACTGTCTGAGGATCGGACTGCATGCTGTCCATGTGACCCGTCAGGCGATTTCTTGCAAATGTTGACAAAACGGCCCTCCAAAGTCCCCAGCACGAGAAGGGACACTGCCCAGGGACCCAGCACTGCAGGTTTTGTGCAGAGGGAGGAGAAGCTCCAAGAGGAGAAATAAACACAGAGCAAAACTGCCCGGGCAACCGGCCGCTTCCCTGTGATCAGTGTGGAGGCAAGCTCTCGGCGTGACAGCCTGGCTGGGTGCTCCCAGCCGGGGCCTGGGGTTGCTGGCCGGGGCCCGTCACGATGTCAGGGCCAGCACCCCTTCCCGGCTTCCTGCCATGCCTCGGAACTTTGTGTTCCAAGTGGCACAAAGTTCCTCCTAGTTTATCTGAGCTCTCTCTCTCTCTCTCTCTCTCTCTCTCTCGGGAACTCCACAGGCCGTCAGCCGACTTCCTGCGGAGCCGTGGGCGAGGTTTCCTCTGGGAAAGGCTGGGGCTGGCAGGGCCTCCCTCTCTACTCCGAGGGGCCTGCTGGGGAGGGCTGCGTGCTGGGCTCTGACAGCCGCTGCCTACCACAGGCTTCTCTCTCTCAGAAAAAGGAGGAAGATCATGTCTTTAAAAATACAAAAGGCACAATTGCTCGGATGCCTCTCTCTAAGTCAGCAGAGAACGTGGCTCATAGGTATAGAGTCTAGGAAGACATTCTGCTTCTCCAGCCCCGATTAAACTCCCCAAGCCGATCACGGAGGCTTCATATTCCTTCCCCGCAAGGGCAGAACATTTTCCCCATGGTGATTAGATCAGGCAAAGGGGATAGGTGGCATTAATTCATACTTCATACTATAGTATGAATGACTTCTAGCAGATAGAAACATACTGGCATAAGGAGGAGGAGCAGAGTACGCTCATGCATTCATTCAAATATTTGAGTATCTAATATGTATCAGGCCTGGGGATACCAGGGAGGGTAAAACCAGCCCCAGCCCTGCCCCTCTGGGGCTCGACAGCAAGCAGAGGAGACAGAACACTCAGATGGCGCTTTTTGGTGCCACACGCAGTGTGGAGGGCTTCAAACATAATCACTCATTTAATCTATCACAGCTCTACTAGGTAAAGACTATCATCACCCCCATTTTACAGACAAGGAAACTGAGACTCAGATTAACAACTGAGTGGTTTAAAAACACTCTGTCTTTGAATCTCTCAGAACCTGCCAGGCAGGTACCCTCACCCCGCCTTTCCTTTACAGACAGGAGTGACAGTCGGAGAGACTGAGATTTTGCCAACATACATAGCCGGCCCGTGGCAGAGCCGGGATTCGAACCTGCACGCTGGCTTCCAGGGGCTGGGCTTGACCCACGGCGCCATGTGTTTCCAGGGGGCTGAGGCGCCACAGGGGCATGTAGTCAGGGAGTGACCCAGTCAGAGCCGCAGCAGGTTTCCCTGGGGAAGGAACTGAGAACCAACGCTGAGCCCGTGGGAAGAGGGTGGGCTCCAGAGCCCAGCAGCAGACGGGGGTTCGAGCCCGCTGGGTTCGGGGGGACTGAGGCAGGGGAGGCAAGCGGCCCAGTGTGGGCCTCACTTGAGTGGCGGCGTGGCACCACCAGCCACCCAGAGCCGCATGACTTTACCGCCCCCGGGCACCTCTGCCTTCCTGGGCCCCTTCCTCGATTAAAAAATACATTAGCCTTTCATGTGTGCATTGATTTAAAAAAGACGTATATAATCCAAGCTGGATTACACTCTTTCTTTCTTCTGATCTTAAGAGAAATTAAAACACCTTCCTGGGCCCCTCCAAGTGTCATGGGCCCCAGGCACCGTACTGCCTGTCGCAGGAGTCCAAATACTGAGAGGCCTCTGCCCTCTCTGAGCCAGGGAGCTGGAGGACTCAATGAGTCCGCATAGATAAGCCCACAGGCACGCTCAGCACTGGGGCGGTGCCTGGTTCACAGGGGATCCCCCCTCGCTGCACCCCTTCCAAGGGCAGGGAGGGTGGACGTGGAAAAGGCCCCTGGAGTTGCACAATTGGCCTATAAGCTCCGCCCGCCCCGCTCCGGCCGTGAATGGAAACAGATGTCCCCCGCTGCCTTGTTCCTGGAGGGCCAGACCCTGCCCTCAGTTCACCCGCTGCCCTGTCCTGACCTCCGCTGGGCATCCTCTCCCCCGATATGTGGCTGACCCGCCCCCGCTAGGGGACTCCCAGCTGTGTCCCCAGCTGCTCTCAGGTCTCTGCATCTCCCTCCTCCGCCCCCGGGGCGACCCGCCCAGGGCCAGACCACCCGGCAACTGACCCCTCGGCAGGCCAGGGTGGCCTCCCACGCTCCCCTCGCCATCTGGGGTTGCTGCAGGGAGAAGCCGCCCCTTTCAGGCAGCGGGAAGCCACGAAGCTGAGTGTTCGCACGGCCAGGAGGTCAGGCTTGCCCTGCGGGTGTCCCTGCCCCCAGCCCCAACACAAACTGGGCCCCACTCCAGCTGCGGGGGCTGGGCGTTTGCTGGACTTTAAGCTCAGGACCTGGACCACCCCCAAAGCAGGGTTTGTGACTCAGTCATTTGTCCCCCACAAAAAAGCAAATCTGACCGTGAACGCCCCCTCCCCGCGGTCACCCCCCAAGCTGGAAACCTTGCCCTGGCCCCGAGGTCAAAGGCACCGTGCGGCCCAGCCCTCCTCGCCCTCCTCCACACCCACAACTCCTGGAGCAGGGAGGTCCAGTGCCCTTTGCCACTGCGTCTTTGTGCTGTTCCCGGTCCCTGGGACACTCTTCCCTGTTTTCTTTGCCAGCTGAACTTGTTCCGGCCTCCTCCTGTCTCGGCTCTCGGCAAAATGGTTGGTCCCTTCCTCCTGGAAATGTTCCCTGATCTCCAGCCAGCTCAGCTGCCCCAGAAAAGGCTTTCATGGCCCCATGTTCCTCCACCTGGGGGATGCGGGGACCCCCAAGGTGGAAGTGGCATTCCTTCCTGCCCGTGCCTGACTCTCCCAGTGGATGGCAAGCACCCTAAAGGCAGGGACTGTCTTTTTTGTTCTTGTTTTTGCTTTCTTGCTCATGTGCTGTGCACCCAGCACGTGGTGGGAACTCAGGGAACACTTGCTGGTGGGCAAAGGGTGCTCTCACCTGTCCCCGCCCGGTGCCCCTGCCCTGGAGACTTTGCTGGGCCTTCCTCGTAGCAGAGATCTGAGAGTCACCCTCCACCTGGCACCAAACTTCTCTCGCCTGGTCGGACTGACCCCAGCACCTGCCCGAGACATCACTCACCCCACAGCCATTCTCTTTGCGACACAGTGTCCTGGGAGCTGGGGACACAGGGCGGAGGCGGCGTCATGCCCCTCTCTGTCGGTGGCTGTGCCGCAGGGCTTCCCTTCTAAGCGCTGCTGACATCTGGGGCCAGACCATCCTCTGTGGTGGGGGCCACCCTGTGCACTGTGGGACGTTTAGCCACACACATGGTCTCTGCCCACTAGATGCCAGCAGTAGCCTCCCTGCCACTCACCTCCCTGCCAGGTGTGGCAACTAAAAACATCTGCAGACGTTCCCACATGTCTCCTAGTCAGAGGGCAAAATCACCCTCCCCTTGAGAAACTCCTGCCTGGCAGTCACAGAGCCGACCACCTTCTAGAAAGCAGGTAGAGCCGGGATGTTGGCTTAGAGTTACTGTTAAAACATCCATACGCGTTTAATGCAGTTTTTTGTATGTACACACACACACACACACACACACACACAGAGCAAGCATGCTCCTTGCGCTCAGGGCTCCTACACCTGCCTGAGGTTCGCTCCTGCTCACCGGGTGGCCACAGTGAAGCAATCAGTTGTCCCAACGTCCCTGCTCCTCCTCACGCACATGTAAAACGGACCACAGCGGCCCCTCCTCCCAGGGTAGACTGAGCTCCCCAGCAGGTCCCTGAGTCACTGAGGCAAGCACTGGCCCACAGAGAGCACTGGACAAGTACGACTTAGCATCCGCGTCTCCAACGTTAATCCAAACAGCCGGTTCTGAGCATGCTACGGTTGCAGAGACCTGTGGCTAAAACAGAGCTAGAAGTCGGAGCGGGTGGGGGACATGCCACCCACTGACAAGCTTGGGCTCAGGGTATCTAGAAGTCTCTTGTACCGCGTTCTTTCTGTCGGTTTGAATCACACAAAAAAAGAAAAAAAAAGGAGGTACGAAAATAAAAAGAGCAGAATATATAAATAACTCGTACAACTCAACAACAAAAGAACAAATAACTCAATTTTAAAATAACCAAAGGACTTGAATAGACATTTCTCCGAAGCAGAACACAACCAGAGCCAGGCAAAACCACCTAAAGGTGCTGGTTGCCAAGGATGGCGCGAAAGAATCCAAC